CTTCTGGGCGCCTCCTGGGGCGCTCTTGGGAGCCTTGGTGGCCATCCTGGGGCCATCTTGGAGACTTTTGTAAAATCAATGATTGCTGCCTGCTCGGCGAGGCCGTCTTGGACACTCCAACGACCCGCCGCCCCCCCCCCCCCCCTCCAGGTCCAGGGGTATGGGTAGGGGTCGTCAAGACACCCGTCCTCCCAACACATAGGTAACACCCGAGCGTCAGCAGATCGCATAGGAACGCCACACATGCCATGCGCGCCACGGGTTTCAGGTGCACCTGGCACCGTGGAGGTCCAAGCGCACCAGATGCGGCACGTGCTCCACGTGCGCCCAAATGTGCCACGTGCCCTAGCCGCGCCAGGTGGTCCAGCTACGGGGAACCAAAAGGGACCCCAGGTGCCTGGGGCCCTGGCCCCAAGGAGTTCAGGATCTCGAATCCCCCTGAATCGAAGTGCCGAGCATCCTGTGAGAGCGTACAGCACCGGCACCGATGGACAAATCGTGACATCTTCACGAGTCGTGAAACAGATCAGAGCTCACAGAAAAGAGGGCCCTGCGCATGCTCCAGATTTGGAGCCACAGTGTATTCCTGGAAAGGGTGATTGGCTTGCGCGCAGCAAGCAATATGCAGGCACCTCCTCCTTCCCTGTCAAAAAACAATGCAAAGTGGTCGCGGGGCGCCCACGCATACGCCAGATTTTGAGGCGAAGTGCATATTGTACTGTTTTGAACAAGGGATGGTGGGGAGGGGCTCACTGGTCCGGGTTGGCTGCGGGTCACCTGGGGGAGGGGGTGCTTATTCATGGGGAATAAGGATAAACCTTTCCCCGAATGGGAAGAAGGCGGGTGGGAGGAGGAATCGCTCTAAACCGCTCACGCCCAGAGGACTGGTGGGAACTATACTGTTCAATGGTGCGACAGTCGTGCTGGTGGAGGGTGGTTGTTTCCCCACATCCTAAGTGGGGCTCCTTCCTCTGCACATCCCAAGCACAGGAACACCTTACCCACCCCCCTCGCTTTTCCAGCACATGCAGCAGCCTGACCTGCACCAGCAGCGGTAGCACTAGCGCCAGCCAGTCTCGGAGCAGTGCTGGCAGTGGTGTGGGTGCTGAGGAGCGCACCAGAAGAGGAGGAGGACCGCCGCCACCACTTGAGTTGCCCCCATGGTGGGCGATCGAGGCGCACGAGACGCACGAGCTCTGGGCGGCTGGCAACCACCTCTTCTGCGCCAGATACGGCCTGTGGGCGAAGAGCGTGAGGACGGTGGGCTTGGCGAACGAGTGTGTCAAGGCACCGCCCAGCGGCCGTCCGGAGGCCGTGCTGGGCAGGCTGAAGCGCGGCGTGCAGCCTGCAGGAACGGGGGGCCGTAGGCGCTCCGGAGTCGCTGCGGAGGCTGAGGAGGCGTGCCTCACCAGAGCGGTAGCCCTGCTGCACTGGCCACCAGGGCCTCGTGCGCGTGGAGGGACCAGCCCTCATCAGCCTTTTGCGGTTCTGCGCGACGGCTGCTGATGCGGCCCCCTCCCTGGCCGTGCGGATGGCCGCCCACCCGTGCGGCCGTTCCAGCGCAGCGCTGCCCGCTCGAAGGTCGGAGGCGGACGCGCGACTTGACGGGGCGCGCTCCCGACGCTCGGGGTCACTCTCCGCGCCAGGGTGGAGCAACGGTGACGGTTCCTGAAGGCTCCGTTCTGGCACGACCCGCGGCCATCAGGGCTCTCTTCCTTTCTGTGCGCAGCGTTCGCCCCGTCGGGGCGGATCTGAACCAGGAGCGTAGTCCTCACGACGCTCGGGATCGTCTCAGCGCCACATGGGCGGGTAACGTTTCGTGCTCTCTCGAATGGTGCTAGGCTCAGGTGACGACTGCGCCTGCATTCTGGAGGACTCAACCCTCGCCTTTTCAGATTCGGGTGTCTCACCTGCTGGTCGCTGTTGCGCGGCCGCTTATGACATGCAGCGACGGCTCCAGAACCAGCCTGGCAGTCATTCCATGTAGCGTGTCCGCGCGTGCGGTGTGCGTTGCGGAGAAGGAACCGCGAGTGTAGGAAGGCTTCTTCCCACGCCCGGGATGTCTCTCAGTGTCGGAGTGGAGCTACGGTGGCGTGTCCAGAGTGGCTCCTCCCTGGCACGTGTCATGGGCCATCATGGCCAGCCTCAACCGCAGCGCTGGCGTGCTCAGTCCCGTGGCGGAGAAGAGCCAGGAGCGTAGTTTCTACGACGTTCGGAATCATCTCCGTGCCCCTTGGGCAGGTAGCGCAGTGGGCGCCGCCTGATCGCTGCGTGCGCAGGAGGCTGTGCTCTTGGTGCGCGCCCCAGTGGAGCAGGCGTTTCTGTGCTTTGCTGAGCGGCCGTCATGGCGAGGAGGTCAAGACTGGTGCGGGCCTCGGCAGCAGCGCCAGATGCCCTCTGTGCTGTGAGGTCGATCGTCCGCGAGCGCGCCCAGAGGCACAGGTCGAGGCCTGACGACCGCCAGCGCCAGAGGGAGATGCCCTGGTTCCGGGAGGTCGTG